TCGACCAGATCAATTATGAGATTTTATTATTAATGTTAATTTTTACCATGCTTTCGCTAGTTTCTTCTCGGATACCGCCGGCACCGGACGCATAGTTGAGACCGATGTTAGCTTGTGCCTGTGATGCTCCGGCGAATGGTGGAATGGAATCATTGAAACCCATTCGTTGAGCTAAAACAAAAAAATTCCAACTTTTGTTTTATATACTTAGAAAAATTGATGTGATTACTGTGAACAAATGATCCAATCATGTTTTTAATTTTCTTACACATGATAATTTAAAGTTTACATTTGTCTTTTTTATCTATTAAGGATCGAATAAATTTGAAAAATTTCAAATATTTTCTTAAAAATAAAGATGTTAAATTTGTAATATACTGTTTTGATTTAATGACAAAAGAACCACATGTTGACTTTTAAAACTCATATATAGTAAATTCATAAATTATTTTGCAACATATATTATTTAAATGAAAATTATCAAAAATACTATTTTTTTCCCTCAATTACTTACAAAATCTTAAGATTTCAAAGTATCACAAATTTAAGTTTTAGATTGGGCCCAAATTGGTGGTTAAATTTTTCTTGTAGTGTGATCGTGTATGTTTGTTACTTGTAGCATCACACATATGCTTGTTACTTATTGATAATCGAATACTACAAAAAAAAAACTTTGTTCATTAACGTAAATCAAGAAGCAAAGCGGTTTGAAAACTAACCGATAACGTCCGGAATATTACGTCCGTTGCTAAACCGACCGGTCGGACCTTGTGGGTAATCTATACCATAAGGTGAATAGTTGACCTTTGCAACGGTGTTCAAGGCATTGTTGTTACCGTTGTCGAAGACAGAGTCTCCGAACACGAAGTAACACGGTACTTGTTGTCCACGTCCCGCTGGTAAAACCGCGGTGGCTGCTGCTGCAAACACTGTGGCAACAACAATCCACAATGCCTTGGACTCTCCCTCGACCATTTTTCGCAAATCTATTTATACGAAAAAATAAGGAGAAAGAGAAGGTTGGCTTACTTTGTATTTTTATATGAATATGAGATTGGCAAGTTCTTGATTGGTATGTAAGGTGTTTCGATTATTAGGAAAGTGTAAGACTATATAAAGGACGAGGCCATGAGCGAATTAAGGGAGACATCGAAAACTATATTTATTGTTTTGCATGTATTAAGAGAGGTTTTCTTTTAAATATTTGTGTCCTTGAAGTGGACGTTTTATAAACTAATTTTCGTTTATTATAATATTCTTAATTGCACAATATCTTTTTCACTATGGCCTAAGAATATTATTTATAGTGTTTAATTTCATTTCGTATGCAATTCACACACGGACGCTTCCATATTTAAGTTCTAGATATGATACAACATTGTTTGTTTTTTTTTTTGAAAAAGGATACAGCATTGTTATTAATACAAACCAACTTCAGCCGAATACTTTGTCGTTATTTTCGTATTTTTTAATTAATAAGTTTATACGAAAATATTCAAAAAGAAAGTTTAAACTAAATTCTTTGTAAAAATAAGCAAATTGTTATGAAAAGTCAAATAAACAAAAATTATTGCCTTTACTAAAAAGTGCTTAGACAAATTTTCCCAAACCAAACAAGTCCACGACGAGCCCATGCAAAAAGTTTGTTAAGATATGCCAGATTCTACCAAATGCAAATGAAACGTAACCATACGTTATGTCTTCACAATTATCCACGAATAATTTATTACTCTTTCCCAAAAAGATATTTTAGCGAGTAACTAAATAGTATAATACTAAGGCCAAAAATCAAATATGTAATCTTTCTCACATCTTCTTTTGAAATTATAGTAAATTCATACAAATTTAAATATAATTTCATAAAATTTTGACCATGATAAATCCGTATAATACATATTATTAACAAACACAAAAAAAAAAAAAATTCTTTTTGGATAACTCAATATATAATTTATCTCTCGACATCCTAATCTTAGTATATATATATAGAAGTTTATTTTGCGAAAAGTCAATGAAATTGATCGTTGAACAAAAAATATTTATTGTAGTCGTGTATAATACAAATGAAAATGAAAATTGGGTAAGTTGATTGTTTAATTAACAAAATTGGTTACAAATGCCGTATTCAGAAGGTATACTCCACATATTTTTATTTGACTATATGCAAATTTAATATGGAATCCCGTGTATATTCCAAATCAATAAGGTCACTGACTTTCATTTTTTCAGTAAAATCAGGTTGATGCGTTTGAATGAGTTTGCCATTTGCAACTAACTATATACAAAATAATTTGTAACCATAAACCCTTTTTCYGGTCAACTTGCAACTAGGCTGTAACCATAAACTTAGATAGACGAAATCTCATTGCCGTGCACATAGTTCTTTTTATTTAGAAATGATATTAGATTTGATGGAAACATTAAATTATCAAACAGATTATAAGTGAATGCCCAAAAAGATGGATATGGTTTTCACAACTGTCCATTTTTAGTTAGCACTCAAGGCAATGAAATTGGACACTTGCTTTACACTCAATTTTACCTATTTTTCCAATTATCAGCATGATGATATTTAAATTCGGATCGGTAGACAAAGCATTAAGCAGAGCGTTTAGTAAATGTTAATGATTTCTAAATGCTCTCTAAATAGAGGTTTTCCTGAGTTTTGACCTATGCTATTATTAAAAAATATTAAAAAAAATATTAAATAACTAATCTTTTATATAAATAAGATCAAAAATAAATTATATTAACTTTCATTTATTTTATTTAATATTTATCATTATTTTATTGGTTTTATTATTTTAAAATAATATCAAAATAAAACAATAAAATTTAGTTAAATATCATTGAAAATATTATTAAAAAATTATGTTATAATTTTATAAATATATTTATATTAAAACTAAAACCTAATATTTAACATTAGTTTATTTTTCTATTTGTTAAATAGTATTATAATAAAATAATAATTTAATAAAAAAGTAATTGAATAAAAATGTTGTTATAACTTATGACTAGTATATATATAATGTATTAGAATACATATAAATAAATATAATGAGATCATTTATTTAATTTTATATCTAGGTATTCATAGCTCTGCCAATCATTTATACATATTAATCAGAGCATACTGCTCCTGCAACATACTGCTAATGTTAATGCTGCTTCATGCTGGAAGCCATACCAATCAAGGCCATAGAGTGAGTGATTATTTTATAAAGATATGTAAGACTGACCCAATTCGTTATCACAGCTCAGAGTATTGGTGACATTGCAGTTCCCCTTGCATAAGAGCTCAACATACTGGAGGGCAATGCAGCCAAGACCAGGACCGAGTTTCCGAGCTGTTCGGTTCAAGATCTTCGCCATTTTACTACCCGGGTTTCCTGCAACACATAGTCCTGCTTAGACCTGTGTGTTCTTAAAGGGTATGAATCTGAGAGAAATCAGAGGGAATAGTGTATTACCATGAAGTTTGGAGGTAGCTAACACCGAGAGTAAGAGCAGCAGTAAAATCAACTTGAAAAAGCTAATTTTGTTCTTCATTCTCATTATGTGTTGTTTTCACCCTCTGAATTGCCTTTTGTAAATGTTTCAAAACCTATAACGAAACAAACAAACAAAATTAAGATAAAATTTGCTTGAATCTTTGTATAATGCATCAAAATCTAAATCACTTGGTTAGATCTGTACAAGAACACAACTATGAAGCTTTTTTTAGACCAATTTCTTTAAAGAAACATCTACATTCATCAATCAATTTCATCGGAACATCCAATTCATTGCAAAACAAGAAAACTTAGGCGAAAATGGAAATGTAATCAAAATTACCTTAAAAGCTTTCTGATTTGAGATTCATCTTTGCAAATCTTCTCCACAAATTCTGTGCGAATCATCATCATATCCTAAATAGAGCGATTCGATTGCAAAGACAAGTATCGAGAGACAGAGAATTATACAGAGTAAGGTTTATTAGGTGGGTTTTAAATTTACGATGTGTCCAAAAAGTACTCTTCAAGTTTCATGTTTTTATCATGTCTACAAGATATGCAACTGTTTTTCGGGGTTTGTTTGATAATCTCTACATTGTTAAACCAAAAAAATAAAAATGGAAATCTCACAATTTTTTTTAAGTTTTTATTTTCGTACGATAGTTTGATTGATGCCGAGACTATATTTGATAGTAATTGAGTTTAGGGAAAATTGACTTATATACCCTAAATCTTATAAGAAATTTGAAATGTATACCAAATTTGTTACACTTTTAAAAGTACCATATTTTAAGAGTTGAAATGACAATTATATCCTTACTTAACAAGATTAAGTTAGAAAAACAAATGATTTGATTTTTCTAAATTTTATTTTAAAATTAATTTATAATATTTTGTAAATATTCTAGATAAGAATTTAGTTAATTACAATATATTAATTTAAATAAAATTACCAATTAATATTTTTTAATAAAATAAAATTACAAATTAATTTTATAATTTATTATTTCATTAATTTATATAATAATATGTCAAGTCGATGAACATAAAAATTAAGTCAATTGTTTAAATAATTCGACAAAGTAAAAAGTCAACCAAGCAAAATATAAATCAATAGTTTACAATAAATCGATGAAAAAAAAATTTAAGTCAACGAATTAAAAAAAAAAGTCAGTGGTTTAAATAAGTCGATAACTTAAAATGTCAATCAAACAAAATATAAGTTAACAGTTTAAAATAAGTCGACGAAATTGAAAATTAAGTCGACAAAACAGAAAATTAACTCAATGGTTAAATAAGTCGAGAAAGTAAAAAATCAAGCAAACAATAATATATGTCAACAGTTTAAAATAAGTCGACGAAACTGAATATTAAGTCGGCAAAAATAAAAAAATAAGTCAATGGTTAAGCAAGTCGACAAAGTAAAAAATTAATCAAACGAAATATAAGTAAACAGTTTAAAATAAGTCGACGAAGCTGAATATTAAATCGACGAACATAAAAAAATAAATCAACTGTATATATAAATCACCAAAGTAAAAAATCAACCAACAAAATATAAGTCGACTGTGTAAAATAAGTATCTTTATTTTTTAATTAAATAAATATTTTAGCTTTTAGATATTAGTTTACTAACAAAAT